GGGCGCACGCAAAACCGGGGGGGGGGGGGGGGGGGGTAGGTGAAACCCCGTGACCACAACGAAGACGAAACCGTGTAACGCGACTTCTCCGACCAAAGCGGTACCACTACGCATGGCTATAAACGTGCAGACGGAACCACCAGAAAGGGGGGGGAGCGAAGAGCTTGACAACCACAAAGAAGGTACCACACAACATAGTACTACAACACCATTTTTTTCTCTGATCCGATTCGGCTCTTTCTCACGTCCACGACGAAGCTCGTCTTGTCGGGAGGACGCAGGGTGGCCACAGGGTTCGAGCTTTGGCTCGCGTCGCGTGCCTTGACGTTGCCGCCGCCGCCGTTGCGGCCCACGAGACTGCGCGATTTCCACAGCTTTACCGGCTCCTGTTTCGAGAATTTTCCGCATATATAAAAAAAAGGAAGAAAAAATGGAGAGGGAAGGAGGTGGTCCGCACAACCGTTGTCGAACACAATCATCCGAAAGAGAGAAAATTTACGCGGAAAGCCCTCAACCGTGACAACAAAACAAAATAAACGAAAACAGCATGAGACAGCAGCAGCAGCAGCAGCAGCAGCCACCGCAGAGGCAATACAGCAGTCATTCGTATCTCCCTCTTCCCGTACGACCATGTACAGCGAGACAGAAAACACACACACACACACACACAGACAAACACACTCAACCGCACTGAGACTGACGTATTTTCATTGGTCAGCCGGTTAGCGCGGTCGATGCAAATAATAAAAACAGACAGGTCCCAGATCATGGCCTGCAGAGGCACTGAGACCGACGTATTCTCATTGGTCAGCCGGTCATCGCGGTCGATGCTTGACGTAAAAAAACGCACACAAACACACAAACACACACGAACACACTCACCCCCACACTGTCCGACCAGGTGGCGACTATCCTAGGGTCCTCCGGCAGCACCGCGATACGGATAACGCCCCCCTTGTGGACCTCCATGGTGCGGGGAACGACATTGCTGCTATCGGCGCTGCGAAGGGCATCGTCCCTGGCGGAACGGAAGAAGGGTAGGGAGGGGGGTGCTTGAGAGGGGTCTACAGGTTCGTCGATGCTGTCAACACAAACGGCAAGAGCGATCGATCATCCCCCCGTCGAGCCGATAAGGTTGTGCAAGCCCGGCGCCAGCAAGCAGCAGCAGCAGTAGCAGCAGCAGCAGCAGCAGCAGCAGCAGTCGTTCTGGGTTCCGTTGTTGCTGTTTCGTACCAAGAACAACAACAGCCACGCCCACAATCACCAGACAAACGAAAACGACATGTATCACCAATACAGGCGCTACCACCACCACCCCAACAACACCAACAACATCAGCAGCAGCAGCAGAGGCAACAATAGCAGCAGCAGCAGCAGCAACAACAACAACAACAACACGAGAGGCAACAATAGCAGCAGCAGCAGCAGCAACAACAACAGCACAGCCCCACCACCACCACCACCACCATCACCGCTACAGGAACAGCGACAGCAACAACAACCAACAACATCAGCAGCAGCAGCGCCTGCTCTCACCCCCTGCCCCGGACGTCGATGCTCTTGAGGAACTTGGACCCGGTACCAGCCAGGAGCACGGAGTCGGTCCCAGGCAGCCAGGCCAGCGACGCGTACCCCTCGTTCCCCCCGAGATCCGCGTGGGCGTTCTCCGCCGCCGCCACGGCGGAATCCCAGCCGCCGTCCCCCTTTTTACGGGATAGTTTTTGGGACAAATGCGGGTTGTTTGCAACAACGAAAATACGGCACGCGGGGGGGGTTGTCCACAGCAGGTTACGGGTTATGTACGGAGTGTGGGGTTCGGTGCCGAGTCCCGGTCGTAGTCCGCCTCATTCGGTTACTTCCGCAAGGCGGTTTCGGGACGATTTTGCGGGGGTGGCTGCGGGTTGTTCATAACACAACAACAAAAACAGACGGCACGCAGAAGGGTTGTACACTTGTACAAAGCAGGCGGCAGCGGCTTCTAGGAGTGCGGGGTTCGATGCTTAGGCGGGTAGGAGGTGTAGGCGTCGACCGCGTTAATAAGGGCCCCCCACAACCCAACACCAAAGCACCAGAAAACAAACAAAGTCATACTGTACGCAGCTGTCATTCGTACGCAAGGAAGTAAGCACAAGATGCCGAACACCCTTAGCAGGATGCAAGCGCACCCTTCATGCGACTCGCCGAATACCTGACGGCGCTTCGCGATTGGCGATGTGATAAGCCTGGTCCGGTGAGAACCCGACGTGCTCCGTCCCGGCTTTGTAGGGTTGCGAGGTCAATGGTCGAACGAATAAGGCATGCACGACTATGCGTACACCCCCCCCACCACCCACCACACAGACACACACAACCCGAACGAGTGCACACCGCGCCTTTAAGGATGGGGCCAGATCTTGCTTGGCCCGCCGGTCGTTAAACGGGGGGTCAAATGCTCATCACGACAACTCAACACGCAACACACAGACAAACACACACACACGCGCGGACACACACACATCACCATCTACATACCACAACGAGCACACCTTAGCGATGGGCCTTGCTTGACGCGCCGGTCGTCAAACGGCGGCATCAAGACAACTCCACAACGCAACACTCAGACACAACGCGCACGCGTGCAGCTTAGCCTCCCCTCACGGTGTCCCAGGTCATGGCATTAAGAAGTTTATTTCTGTTTTTCAGCCGCAGTCAGCCTGGCGTATTTTCATTGGTCAGCCGGATAGCGCGGTCCGTGCTAACAAACAAAGACACGCCCGCGCGCGCACACACACACAACACCAACCCACTAGCACACCTTAGGGATCGGCCAGATTTCACCAGAACCCGCCGCGCTCCCGCCACCCCCGACCACCGCTGCCGCGTTGCTGCCGCTGGCGTCGAGGAAGTCTACCCTGTTTCCCGTACGACCACCGGAGCTGTCAGTAGCAGGGGCGGTACCGGCACGCGCCCTGCGACCCCTAGACCTGCTGGGCAGCATCATTTTTTTTTTCGTTGCGGGGGAGAAAAAAAGAACAGCCGGACGGTATTCTTTTCTTGCTTCACGTACGTAACCGTTCCCTGGCAATTTACGACACGTGCTCGGCTCTAAAAGGGAATGCCGAAGGCGGGAGTTTTGATTTCTCTATGATAAAGCGCCTAAGGAGTTGACCACGAACAACAACAGGAGGTCAGATTAGCATCCCGTACCAATGACCTGTACAGCCCATGTTGAGTTACAGTATCGCCACAGAGAATACTAAGAACCGAGCCCCAGGAAAAAACGGTCCCGAAAAACTTGCCGGTCCCGGGGAGCTTACCACGAACGGTGAGCAACAACAACAACAACGAGGACTAGATGCCAGCAACAACAGCAACAGCAACAGCAACACCAATGGCAACAACGACAACACCAACACCAACACCACCAACACCAACAACTGGACAAAGGCACCAGCGCGATACACCTCAACTGCTACAGGTTACGATCGAATACAATCCTCTCCCGTTACCTGACAGCAGCAGCGGCAACATCGTTGATGTTGTTGTCGTCGTCGTCAGCGACGCCGTCTGTTTCATCGTCGCTGAACTCTTCTGCCATTCTTTGTCCGTTGCCGCTTCCACCGCCGCTTCCGAACCTTGCGCCGCTGGTACTCCCGGCCAATGTCATCCCGGTCATGCTGCTGAGCATTCCTGCCACCATGCCGCCGCCGCCGCCACCACCGCTGCCGCCACCGCTTCCGCCGCTCCTTACGCTACCGAAGCTGCCCACCAGAAATCCGCTTGCTCCTCCTGCGACGGGGGGGGGGCGTGCCGAATCACACGAGCGTCTGTGTGCGTCCACTCCCTCCCTCCTCTCTCTACTTCTCCCCCCCTAACGCTGAACTCAAGTCACAGCTGTCACAGCGCAAACCAAGCCAGTAAATAGGAGGAGGAGGAGCAACAGCGGGAACATAAGCGGCACACAAGCAAGACGGAAGAGCAAGCAAAGGAAGGGAAACGGAACGGAAACAACCGCTGCCAATTCCACGCCAGCAAACAGCAGCAGCAGCAGCAGAGCAGCAGAAGTTGCTGCTAAATATCCAGTCTGCGCACACCACGCTCCCCCCAAAAAGTCACCGCGAGCAATGACTAACCTTCCCGCTGACTCGACGGGGCAGACGTCTTCCTACTGCCGCCACCGCCGCCGCCGCCGCCGCCGTAGTCCCCGATCGTCCCGACAGCGATCGCCGCGCTCCCCGCCGCCGTGGCCGCCGCCGCCCGGCCGCCGTCGTTCCCCCCCGCTCCTCCGGCGGCGGCAGACGCCGTGGCCGCCGCCGCTACCGCCGCCGCAACGGAGGAGCGGCTGTCTTCCAGGCTGCCGTTGCTGCTGCTAAGGACTGCTGCCGCCGAGTCCGCGGTCCCCGTCGCCGCCGCTGCCGCTGCCGCTTGGGCGGAGGGGGCTCCGCGTCGCTGCCGCCACTGCCTCACGTAGTGGATGTCGCAGATGGCCAGGCTCTTGTCGCTCCGAGTCTGGTTGTTGGTTTTCGAACGACGGCAGTTAGCAGCAGGGCGGTTGGTTTCGGGGTGTATGTGTTATGCTTCATCCTTGTGCTCGATGCCAAATAGCACGAGTCTCTGATTCATGTTTTGGACGACAGCGGCAGCAGCAGCAGCAGCTCGACTGCTTTCGGTATCTATGGATACAGCGTGTCGTAGGATTGATGGCACATGGCAGTAGTACAACTTAGGCGATCGATCTCTCTGCCCTTTTCATTTGTTTCCGCCCAACGCAGATGAGTGCACGAGTTGAGGGAGGTACGTGGGCCACGGGCGGAAAGACACGTGCTGTCTTCTTCTCCCTGTACAGGGGGTGTGGTGGCACCGTGAAAAAAGACGCAATGTACCACATTACTCCACATTACTCTATATACGAGGTGGCAGACGCTAAGGTAACGCGTGAGTGTGCAAAAACCATTCTGGCGGTTTTTCCTTTCTCCCTCCCCCCAAAACCCGGCATATCGCTCCCTCCGTCCCGGCATTGTAGGCATGCGAGGTCGATGGTCTAACGACTATAACGCATGCATTTTACAGCAGCAGCACACATCTTTCCCAATGCCCCGTCCTCTGGAGGACGCATGGTCAACGGTCAAACAGCCAAGACACGCAAACCATGAGCACACACCCCCCTCTCGAGGATTCGTGGCTTACGGTCCAACCGCAACGGCATGCGAACCACGAGTATCCCCCTCCCCCTCCCCTTTATGGCACCAGGGCACCTTAGTCCAGGTCCCTCTGGAGCACACGTAGTCATTGGACAACCACTTATGACATGCAAAACATGAGTGCACCCCCCCCCCTATACAAGCACCGCCGCACCTTTGTCCAGGCAGCGGCTAGGCGCGACGGGTTCTCGGGGTCCCAGGCTACGGCCGTGCAGGGACGATTCTTCTTCTAGGCGGGT